GCCGGTGGCCCGGCAGGCCAGGAAGGCGCTCCTGCCCAGCTCCACGGTGACGTCCCGGGGCAGCTCCGTCAGCTGGGGGGCGTCTGTGGGAGGGGAGCAGTCTGTAGGGAGTGGACTCCCAACCAGGGCTCCATTTTCCCCCTGTGCTGCGTGGAGTCCACACTGCAGGCCGGACTTGGCTGGGATCACGCGTGGGGACTCAGGGGCCTTGCTCTACCCAGCCGTGCCCGTTTTGTACCATCCCGAGAGCCACCTGTAGGAGGGTTTCAGGTTTTCTTCACTCTGTAGCTTTGTCTGAGCTTTTTGAAAAATGTCACAATTAAAATATGCTTCTTGTAAATTGGGCGGCCTCGTCCGTTATGGCCCAGGGGGGCCCCCAAGAGCAGAAGGGCCACGCGAATAACCTCACCAGGACAGCGGTCCGCACGGGCTGTGCTGACCCCAAGCTGCAGGAGACCCAACACACAGGAGGTACAGCAAGCACAACCCCGGATTCCCGCTCCACACACCCCAAGCCCCACAATCGCTCGCTGTTTTTCTTCCAAGCGTTTTCTTCCAAATAATCAGGAAAGGAAGAAGAGGACCAGCTTCTTCCCCCGAGTGTCTCTACTGGCGCGCCCTTCAGTCCTTTCAAAGGCCAGCGGGGGTCCAGCCCCAGACGGTTCCCACTGCCTCTGCAACCCAGGCCCTCAGACTCTGGAGGCCCCCGGCCCCAAGGAGAAGCGCCAGTTCTTTCTGTCCCTCTGCAGAAATCTTCCCACCCATCCATTCCTTGGGAATGGCGTCCAGCTTCCCTGGGGCCTTGGGGACAGGGAAGTTCCAAGAGATACAAACCCCACTCGGAACGTCCCCGAGAGGAGGCTCACCGGCAGCTGCAGGGCTGAGCCCGGAAAGCCCAGACTCTGGCAGAGCCCCTGCCCCGCGGGCACAGCCTCGCCTCCTGCCACCCCACTGGGGTAGCTAACGCCGGGAGCGCCCCCAGCTCCCCGAAGGCGACGCCCTGGACCTCATCCCCAAACAGCCTCCTTGGACTCCCGACTTCGGATGTTCTGAAGCCATTGTCCCCACCCTCCCGGGCTGCACCTGCCCATGTGAACAAGGTGCACAGGGACAACTTGGCCTTTCGGCCCATGCCCCTGACACCAAGGGAGACCGAGGCCGGACTCTGAGGCTGCTGCGAGGCTCAGACTCCTCTCCCTTCAGGCTCCCCGCCCCGCCCACACTGACCCACTGTGACCCTCAGCAGGCTTCTCAGTAGCCTGGTTCCCCTCCTCCGGAGTGGCCCTTCCCTTCCCGGCCTTGGGCAGGTCGCATGCACACACGGAGCCTCGGCCACACTGGGAGTGACGCCAGAACCCACACCTTTCTCCAAGCTGGGCCTCTCGCTGAGCCCCAACACCCGCTTCCATCTGCCCTTGACACCCCGGGTCCCCCAGCCCTCTCCAAACATAGCCCCACAAATGTGGTCCCGGACTCCGCCCTCCTGTCACCCTCCCAGGGTGTCCTTGTCTGTACCCCCCTCTGCTTTCCATCTAGCTGAGTGTAGCGTCGGTGCCCTGCCCACCGCTGACCTCACTGTGGCACAGGGACTCCCGGCCGCGAGAGACCTGAACCTCCTGGCTCCAGGGCCCAAAGCTCCTGGGCTGCTCATCTCTGCCCGGCGGCCCCACAGCCCTAGCTGGGCCAGGAGGGAGGGAGTGTCAGGTCCCTGGCTGTGCAGAACACCGAGGACGCAGGGGCTCGCAGACCCTGCATTTAGAGGCCCTGGGGTGGGGGCCTGGAGCTCGCAGCACCAACACAACGTCGCCCCTTGGCCCCTCCCACCCTGGGTGACTTCCACGCACTAATCCCCCCATGAAATGTTAATAGTTATATTTTACAACTCTGTCACTCGAGAAACACATCTATCCTGGCTGGGTTTTTGTTTTGTTTTGTTTTGTTTTTGATACGGTCTCCCTATGCAGCCCAGGCTGGCCTCAACTTGGTGACCCTTCTGCCTTAGCCTCCCAAGTGCTGGAATCACAGGTGTGCACCACCACACCTGGCTCAGAAGGGTTTTAGCAGCACAAAAGCTCCCAGCCCTTTGCTTTTCCTACTCATCTGCCCAGCAGCTTCTGGGTGGGGGACAAGAGCAGGGTCTCAGAAGAGAGGACAGAGGGAAAGAGAGAAATCAGGTGACACAGGGCACTGAGCCAGGGACGGGGTGCCTACCACGGAGCTGCTCACCAGCCCCCAGGGGTCGTCCTCAGCCCACCCGGTGGGCACAGGAGGCACCGAGGCACAGGCACCCCTTGCAACAGGAGGGGCAAAGGTGACTCTCCTCCCAGGCCCCAAATGCCACCAGGAAACCTGGTCCCAGCCCGACAGCAGGAAATGGGCACAGCGCCCGCCCATCCCAGCCTCTGCCAGCTCGGCCAGGAAGTCCGGATCGCAGCTGCTGCCCAAATGGGCAGGAAACTTGATTTCCCACTGCCCCTGCCAGGCCGGCTCGCCAGGCCCACCGCTGCTGGGCACTCTCCGTTCTGTCCCACGCCCGCCCCGGGGGCTGGCCACGCCTCCTGACTGTGACCCACTGGACAGCGCCAGGACCAGCGGTGAGTGGGTGGCGGGCGGGTGCAGGCAGGCATCGGCCCGGACCCCGGGGACAGAGCTCCGCCAAGAAGATGCAGAGAGGGAGGGGCCAGAATGACGACAGCTCGGCCTTCCCGCGGCCCCACGCCACTCAGGGCGTGGCTTTGCCAAAGCCCGCCGTGGGCACACATTTCGAAGCCCACCCGTGACACTGCGTGCCCACCCACTGGGAGAACCCTGCGCACGTCGCTCTCCTTCTCCAAACCCCGCTGTCCCCCAGACAGACCCCGAGCTCCCCAGCAGCTCCCGGGCAGGGACAGGCGGCCAGGACGGATGGCTGCAGCCTTGGTCTCCTGCCCCAGCTCCCTTTGCCTGGGTCCAACTCCAACTCCACCTGGCTGGCTGCGTCCGGTTCCACCTTAGATAAACTTCCCCTCCTCAGGAAGACTCTGAACACCAGTGTCCTGTTGTCCCCAATACAACAGGGTTCCTGGTGACCGTGCAGTGGCGGAGTTAGTAATGGGACAAGCAAGCAGAGACACAGGGCACCCCAACCCAGGAGGGACGCCCCGTGAGACGGCCGCGTCTGCCCTCACCCTGCCCAGCCCAGCCCGGCCCAGGCGAGCACACTCCTGCTTCTCCGCACTTCCCGGCTCCCTGCACCAGACCCTCCTGCCATGGCCGATCCCAGGCAGCTCGGCCTCGAGAGAGCCCAGCGCCGGATCCCAGGCGCAGGCCAAGGGCAGAGGAACTGGACTCCCTTTCAGAAAGGGCTGACTAAGCCACCGCTCTGGCCAACACAGCACTGAACACCACATCCCAGCCCAGGCGAGGAAGGACAGTCGGCTCCACTTCCCAGAGGGGAAGCTGAGGCCCTGGAGCCTGGCCAGGGCACACGGGTGGCAAATAACAGGAACAAGAAGTCACAGCAGGCACAGAAGCCTCCTCCGGCCACAAGGTCACCGAGTGACTTTGGAGGGGACAGCCCGGCCCGGAAGATGGCAGCGCCACCCTCCGTCATCACGTGCAGCCCTGGGGCGACCCGAGCCATCAAAATCTGGCCCAGATTCTGACCCTCCGATACTGAGATGACAAACACTGCGTAAGCCACCAAGTCAGGGACGACCTGTCACCCAGGAAGAAACAACACGGGGCCTCCCTCCCGAAAGCCCTCGCCCATCCCACACGGGCGGCATCCCCACCCTGCTCGGAAACAGGGCCAGGGCAGGCACAGGGGGACAAGCGGATACTCACGTCCAACCTCCAGCTGCACCTCCGCAGAGGCGTCCCCCAGCTCGTTGACAGCGCGGCAGGTGTAGACGCCAGCATCCCTCTCCTGAGCCCTGGGGATCCGAAGCGTCCCGGAGCCAGAGCCCTCGGGAGCTAGGATCATTTCCAGATCCCCTAGGGTATAGGGGAGAAGCATCTGCTGGAGTTGTGGTCACCATGGAGACCAGGGCACCTGCATCTGCACCGGCTGGGTGCAGGGAGTTTTGCCCCAGAGCCGGGACCCCTGGGGTCTTCCCTGAACCACTGTGCTCACCAGGGCTGGGCATAGCACCCTCAGACCACAGGCTCATCATGGGGACCGCATGCCTGTGCCTCCCCCTGGGCCCGACTGGATCTGAGGCGACCACACCTCAGCCCTCCTGGCCTTGGCTGGCTGCCATCCTCTTAACCGGAGCGCACTATTTCTTCCTGTGATAGAGTCCACGGGCCAGGAAACTGACCACCGTGATCACATGCATGGGGAAGCTCGGGTGTTAGGCAGTGCACACTGCTGTGTGACCGTCTCCGTCCCGTCCCTCACTTGCCCCTGGCTATGGCCTCCCCTTTCTGTCTCTTTAGACCTCATGGAAACGGAACCCTCCTGTGTGTCTGGGGGGCTGGCTCACGTCACCCAGCATAACGTCCTCAAGGTTGAGGCGCGTGTCAGAAGTGCATCCCTTCTGCAGGGTACAGGAGATCGAACCCAGAGTCTTAGCACTGAGCTACATCCCCAGTCCTTTTCTGTTTTGTAAATTTTAAGACACGGTCTCACTAAAGTTGCTAAGTTGCCCAGGCCGGGTTTGAACTTGCCATCTTCCTACCTTCCTTCCTAGCCTCCCAAAGCGCTAGGATAACAGGCAAGAATTTTATTCCTTCTTCAGGTTGAAGAATATTCCACTTTAAGACCCCCCCCTTTTTAGGTGAAGGGAGGGCAGCGGTATGGGGAAAACACAAGAACCAAGATATATCATGTAAAGGTACGATCCCAATTTATGGGGAAAACACAAGAACCAAGATATATCATGTAAAGGTACAAGATCCCAATGATAAATGTATTGTTTGCTTTAAATGTACCAATAAACTTAATGAAAAAGAAAGACCCACTTTTTTAAAGAGCCTCTCGGGGCCAGGTGTGGTGGTGCACACCTGTAATCCCAGCACTCTGGGAGGCTGAGGCAGGACATTCATAAGCTTGAACCCAGCCTGGTCAACTTAGCAACTTAGTGAGACCCTGTCTGAAAATATAAAAATGGAGCTGGGACGTAGCCCAATGTGAAGGCCCTGGGTTCAATCCCCAGTGCCATAACAATAATTCATTAAAAAGGGGACTCTGGGCTGGCCTGAGGCTCTGACCCAGACACAGTGTCAGGAACACTGAGCCCCATCCAGGACAGAGCACTGTGTCTGGGTCAGAGCCACCCCCGTCTTGGTCAGGCTGAGGCTCTGCCCAGGTCTCCTGACACAGAGGTCCCAGAGCGAGGGGCTGGTGAGGACCCCTGCTGACCCTGAGCGAGACCCAGCTGGGCGCGGGACACTGTGAGAACCCTCTGCAGCCTGCCCCAGGCCAGAGCAACCCTGTTCTTTCTCCTCCATTTCTCCAGCCACCACACAGTCACCGCCACCAGAAAACAGAGCACGACCTGTTTCGAAACTCTCCACCCCACACAGCGGCAGCTCCCATTTCTCCATTTTCTAGAGATGGAAACCGAGGCCCACAGACACCAAAGTCACTTGCCAAGGTCACCTGGGGGAGCCAGGATTCACGCCCAGGGAGGACGCTGAGCTGGGTGGTTCGACAGAGACCACTGGAACCCACAGGCTGCCCCCAGACCTCCCTGCACAGCCACCATCCCAGAGGCAGAAGCTCCCAGCCTCTGCCCACTGCCCACTCACCGTGATACCAGATGACCCGGGGCGGGGGCACCCCTGACACCACACAGCCCAGCACAGCCTCCTCCCCGACGGCAGCGAGCACCATGGATTTCGCAGCAGACACTGACGGGGCATCTGTGGGGCAGAGGGGGCAATCGGGCCACCCAGCCCTCAAGTCACCGGCTCTGTGCTGGTCACAGCACCTCCTCCTCAGAAAGCACCTTAGTCTCTGTGTGTGTTTCATGCCTCCCCATCAGAATATAAGTCCTAGATGCCCAATAAATATGCATGACAGGGAAGGGAGAGGAAGGGCGGGGTCTGTCCTGCAGACACCATGGCCCGATACCTGTATAGTACAGGGTGACGGTCTCCTCGTCTGTGCCCACGTCATTAGCAGCCAAGCAGGTGTAATTCCCAGCATCCTCTGGGGCTAGTCCCTGAATGATTAGGGTTCCCTGGGGATCCACATGGATTCTGGAGTTATGCCACAAAAACATCAGGTCATACAAGGCTGGCTCCACAGTCATCATTAATAAATCAACCTCTCTAGTGACTGCTGTTCTACACTGGCGGCTTACAATGGGCTTCTGGCTCAGCAATGTACATACACAGGTATGCAATCCGTGAGACTCAGAGAGGTGAAGCAGCCCGCCCAAGGTCACACAGCCTCAAAAGGAGAAGCAGGATTTGAGCACAGGTAGCCCCTGACCACGAACGCCACACAGGGGCACTGCTGGGCTTCCAGACAGAGGTCGCTCCTGAGCCTCAGGTGCCCCCCCACAGGGAGGCAGAGCACTGCCCCTCCCCACAGGCAGCCCCCAGAGTGTGTCCTGGGCCCTCACCTGCTGTCCTCTTGCAGGGCGAGACCCTCATGACTCCAGGAGAGGTGGGGTGTGGGGTACCCCGAGGCTGAGCAGCTGATCTTCACTTCCACACCCTGGGAAAAGCGCTGGGACCTGGTGTCGATGCTCACTTGCGGTGCTTCTGCAGCCCAGAGAGGGGACAGTGGGGAAGGGCCGTCGGAGCCATCCCAGAGCCCTTCCTCTCCCCACAGCCACAGACGGGAGGCAGGAGGAGCCAAGGCCCAGAACGGACTGGATTGCCAGGGCCAGGGGACCGCCTGGCTGCTGGGGTAGACCAGATGGTCGCCAACCTCACCCCAGAGTGTTGCTGGGAGATGTCACAGAGGACATCAGGCAGCTGCCAGGCTGGTGGATCTTGTCTCTGGAGACCTTGAGGTGGTCCCCAAGGCCTGCCCTAAACTGGCCACAAGCTGAGGTTCCATCCTGGCCCATGGGGCATCCAGCATGGCAGTGAGCTATCTAGAAAGGCTGGAAAGGGGAGTGCAGCCTCCGTACCCCGCTTACCGTGCAGACACAACTAACAAATCTCCTGCCTGCCGAACCCAGATCAGGCCTCTGAGTCTGCTCAACGCACCCCAGGCAGTGGACTCAGCATTGTTGGCACAATGAAAGCCACTTGCTAAGTCACCCATTTTCACACTTGGTGAGATAGCACTTCCGGGGCAGACTCGGCCACACCCAGGTCTCTGCACTCCAGACAGCTGCTCTTTCTGGGGCCTCCTCTGCTCCCATCTAGCTGTGCCCCCCAGTGTGCTATGAATGTGCGATTACCAACCTCCAGGATTCGGTCCCTGCCCTACAATTGGAGAGGAGAAGGGTAACAATGGGGGGCTTGGTGTCCTGGGAACAGGGCAGGACACAGGGAGACCAGCTCTGCCTACAGCAACGGACACTTAGTTTAGACATAAGGAGGGACTTCCCAGCAGCAGGAATCACTAGGCTTCAGTGAGGAGGCTACAGAGACCTCTTTGCCTGAAGTTTCAGAACACACTGAAAGGGCTCCTGCCCTTACCAGGAACAACATCCAGGCAGAGGGCAGGCGGAAGTACTCGGGGTAATGCTCGGTAGGGGCTGGGGGCAGCAGCAGGAAGCGCCTCACCTCGCACCAGGAGCCAGGTGGATGCTCTCGTGGCCCCGTTGGCGTTGCTGGCCACGCACTGGTACCGCCCGCTGTCACTGGGGACAACCCCGCGGACCTCCAGGGACCAGTTGGCCAGCTGGGTGACTCGGCCCGCCGAAGCAGGCAGGGCTCGCCAGTCCCGAACCCACGTCAGATTGTAAGGCACGTCCCCTAGGACCCGGCAGGATAGGATGGCGGTCTCCCCCAGGGACACGGTCACGTTGGGGGCAGGGACCAGCTGTGGCGGGGGGTCTGTGGGGACAGAATGAGAGGAGGGACTGAGGGGCAGGGCAGGGCAGGGCAGAGGACACGTGTCAGCCGGCAGAGCACTCGGGCAGCATCTGCTCCCCATCCGGAGATGAGGACGCGCGTCCCCACCGCCAGCCGTCACACCCAGTGGGGCTGCAGAGCGTGTGAGCTTGTGTGCTGTGCTAAGGACGCCAAGTGCAAGATTAACAAGCCCTACGTGTGCCTCACACCCTCCTCTGTCCCCATGACAGGGCTACTGCGAGCAGACGAAACTGAGAAGTCGGACCACCGCCCAAAGGAGCTATGAAGAGCTAACTAAACCGCTGTGCTGTGTGGGCAGCAAAAGCCAGAGGGAGAGACGGGGTCAGGGGCCCCCTAACACAGCTCCAGGGGCTGTGACCCAGCAGGGGGAGCTGAACCCAAACAGGCCCCATGCGCCTGTGTGACGCCCGCGCGGCCAGCTCTGCGGTCACAGAAAGGACGAGACGCTCTGGGACAGGTGGGAAATCTGACAATGGACAAAGTCAAGCAGGATTCGGGCATGACTGTTCGCTTCCCTAGGTGTGGTCAAAGAAACCTGATCATTACAGGAGAAAACCTACTTTTTCTAGAGATACGAATGTGACATCAGGGTAAGTATCAGGGTAAATAACTTAGCAAACGGCAGATACAGCACATGTGACTAAATTTAGCAGTTTCTAAGTCTAAGTAATGGACACCCCAATTCCTTATAGTTTGACTTTCCATCCTCATTTCCAAAATCCCAGAAGCAGAGATGCTGGCTTGCTGGATTTCTGAATAGCAAAGAATCAGGCCACTGAAAGCATCTATGATATTATTGCCTTCTTGTTAAAATGCACACACAGGGAAAGGTCTGAAAGGAAGTCAGTCAAGTGGCTTTGATCTTCTTTTATGCTTGTCTATAGCTTTCCAGCCTTCATACCAGAAACATGTAGTTTGCTAGAATAGAATGTAAAGTTGTTTAATCAGGTTTCTCTCCAAGATAGCTCAGGTTTGAGATTGTAAAGAAACAAGGCCCAATCTCACTGTGGGTGTTAATGGAGTTTTTCATCTGGGGTGGGGACTCCAAGAGGGACGGTGACCTGTGAGAGGACCTGCAGCTGGCCTGAAGTCCAGACCGAGTTGGAGTCCCTGACCTCTCCCCCGCTGAGACCCTCAGGCCACCACCGGGTGACACAGCCCCAGAGCCAGCAAGCAGGTGGCAGGAAGCAGGAACAGCCACTCTGGGTAAGCCACAGTCCCAGCCACCGGATGGAGACTTGTGGGGAGGAAATCGCAGGTGGCAGAGCCAGGGGGAGGAGGAGGGTACACAGAGGGCCCAAGGGACAGACCTGTGATGACAATTTGGGCCCTGGCCCGTCCGCTCCCAGACTTGCTGACCGCTGTGCACTCGTAGGTTCCCTCCTCGGCCTTGGAAGCCCGTGGGATCTCCCAGCTGCTGTTCCCTGACTCCCTAAAGAGAACCACAGAGGGGCACCATCACAGTAACCTCAGTCAGGCCCCGGCCCTCCGGGACCCGACCCTCACTGGGACTCAGCGAGAAGAGGCAGCCAGCCAAGGACACAAACTGTGTGACCCTGAGCAAGGCCCTCGCCCTCTCTGATGTTGGGCTCCCATCCATGTGGGGAGGTCCTTCCGGCCTTTGCTGCCCTAGCTGGAGCCCGCAGGCGTGAACTGAGTTTTCTGGGAGACAAGGAAGACCAGCGATGGCTGGGGAGGCAGCCCGGCAGGAATGGGGGCTTCAGGAACCCATCCCTGGCCACACTGCAGGTCCCTGGGTTGGGCTGCCCAGGGGGACAGAGCAAGCCCGAGGTCCCTCTCCTGCCACCCACTCCTGAGCTCTCTCTGTACAGCCACTCACAGGAAGTGCCTCTCCTCGCCCAGTCTGGCCCCGTCACGGAGAAGCTGCAGTCGGAAGGGGAGGGCGCTGTGCACAGAGCAGGAGACCAGCAGGGGCTGGTGCTGGTAGCCATGGATCCTGGGAGGCATGCTGACCAGGGGGGCTCCTGCAGGCGAGGATCGGCACTCAGAGCCCCCAGGGCCCCACAGCCCACCATGACCACACACAGAGACACAGACACACCCGGCCGAGCAGGAGCCAGGGTCTCAAGCCCAGTCCCTCCACTCAGTGGTCACTAAATGCGGGTCCCTGAACTGCTCTAAGCCTTAGTTTCTACCCATGCAATATGGGGTGATCCTGAGCAGGAGATGGGGTGTGTGGGAGCTGTCAGGGTCACACATGCGGCCCACATGTTCCACCAGTGAAGGCTCAAGTGCCTTTCAGAGGTTTTTTGCTGATTCTTGTTTTTTCTGTTTTTTCAGACAGGGTCTCACTATGTAGTTCAGGCTGGCTTCAAATTCAAGGCAATCCTCCTGACTCAGCCTCTTCAGGGCTGGGAGTACAGGTGGGCGCCATCAGTTTGGGGACTGGGAGATAGAGCCGCCTTCCCCACTGTGTACCCCCTCTATGGGGCCAGTTCTGACAGGGGATGAATCCTGCTTCCAGACTAATCGGGGGTCCCAGGGGTATGGGTGGGGCAGTGCCAGCACCTCTGTGCCTGGAAGGTCATTTTCTCCACATCAGTGGTGGGAAAAGCCTTTTCATTTCAAAATAAGCACAGCAGCTGGCAAATGGCTGTGAATGCAAACGTCACTCGAATTTTTGAGATAAAAATAAAAGACTTCAATGGAATCTCACAGCTTATAATGAGCCCCTCGGGACCCCCCTCCCCGCTTGCCTGACCCTGGTCTTGGGGTGACACCATCTCTCCACTCAGCCGTGGGGAGGTCTGAGAAACTCTCTGCAGGGCTGGCCGTGGCCGGGGCGCTCAGTGCAGAGAGCAGCCGGGATGCTCTGGGGCTGAGACAATGCCAGACCTCCTTGGACAGCTGGGGTAGGGAGGGCAGCTGCCGGTGACATCAGGCTGCAGGCTGCCTGCCACGTCCCAGGGGACAGGGGTGTCGGACCACGCAGCCACGTCCTCAGCTGTGTCACGGCAGCAGCCACACCCACACACACTGCGCCCCAGCCAGACACTAGGCCCCGCCTCCACAGGCTGAAAGGGCTCCTGGGACCCAGGGTCCACCCACACCCCAAACCCAGAGCCCCTTGCTTGAGGCAAAGCTCCAGCCCTGGAAGGCAGAGAGGAACAAACCACCCGCCCATATCCTTCTGGAGCCAAGACAGACACCGAAACCCAGAGCTAAACCCTGACTCCTGGGTCTGTGGGAAAGACCAGGGAGGGAAAAGGCCTCTGCCCCACCATGTCCTTCCTGCAGCCTCCTCCGTGATGCCGTAGAGAGGCCCAGGAGCCACAGCCGGGGGCCTCCAGTCCCCAGCCCCTGTGTACCATGGGAGTCTCGGGGACAGTCCCTTCCTCCTCCCTGTGTCCCATCTGAGGTGGACAGACTGCCCTTGCTGGGCCCCCCACAAAGAACTTCCAGGATGTCAACCTCTAGCAGAGGGGACAGTGGGCAGGAGGAAGACAGAGAAGCCCAGTGAGGAGGCCGGGTGGCCATGGAGCCCAGATGCCCCCTGCCAGGACCAGGGGTGGACCCATAAGCTCAGGCATCGCCCTGCCCTCTGGGAGTTGCCCGCCGAAGTGGTGAGGCCTCAGGGACACCCGGGAAACCACACAGACCTCGCATGTGGGAACCAACACAGCGTGGCCAAAAGTAAGATGGTAAAGTGGACACAGCAGGATGCCACGCGTGGAGAGCTGGTCTCAGCCCCCTCACCTAGACAATGGGGACCCTCAGAAGGTGTGCAGGGAGTGAGTAGTGGGTCAGCGCCCTGCAAGAGCTCGGCCCAGGACTGGCTCACAGGAAGCACCCATGGCGGTGACCACAGTTGGTGTCCCTGAGCGACAGTGGCCATGATTACTGAAGTGTGAGTGGCCACAGCCATGCTGCCCGCTACCATGCACGCAGTGCTCAGCACCACAGTGACACGTGGTGGACACTGGAGATGAAGGATGGGTTGGTGGATGGGTGGACAGACAGGTGTACGGGTACCCAGAACAAATGCTGAGCGGATGGATGCCGGTGGAGGATGGGTGGACGGAGGAACAGTGCGTAAATGCATTGATGGTCAGCTGGATGGGTGGACGGGCAAGAAAGCGAGCAGAAAGGCAGGCAGACGAGTGGATGGACAGACGGATAAATGGGTGCGTGGGTGGATGAACAGATGACTGTTTTAAATCTCTGAACTGAGAGCCTCATCTGCACATCTCAGTATTTGGCACAGCGAACAAACATTTCCTAATCTGGTCTAATCTGGGAAGGAATCCAGGAAGAAATGAGACTCTTGTGAGCCAGGAGACAAAAAGCCAGCCTCTTACCTGGAGCCACCCCACTGTAGGAAACCCCGGAGACGCGGAGGAGAGAGTTCCCCTCGTGGTCCCTGCCCTTCACCTTCAGGTAGAAGCGCTCCTTGGGGGCGTGGAAGGGCGGCCCGCCCCACAACTGATGGGTGGACCCATTGGAGAGGGGCTGCGTGGGCAGAGTCAGGAGGGGCCGCCCCGAGGGGCGAGACAGCTCCACAGAGTCCAGGAGCCCGGGGGCCTGCAGGCCGGTGGAGTTGATCACCAGGGAGATGGGGACGCCTGCGGGAGGGGACAGCAAAACGAGGGCTGGCACCTGGGTTGGGCTCTGGGACCACAGCTCAGGGAGCCGGCCTGCGAGGCCCTACTGTGCCCAGGCCCTCGCCTTCTCTACCCACTCATGCGGGGGTAGGAGATGCAGGCCGGGACCTGCTGCTGTCCACGGTCCTGAAGCTCCACTGCCCGTCCAGCCCGGGCTTGCGGTGGCTGTGTTGGCTGTGTCGTGCCCTCTCCGCAGACCTGGCCGTCAGGACCCGGAAGGACCCAGATCACAGGAACACCTAGCAGGGGACTCCCCGACTCCAGGCTGCCCCTAGCTCGGCCTTCACCTGCCTTCCTTCTTTGCCTGACTTGATGGCAATGCTTCCCAGCGTCCCCAGAGACACAGAACTGGACTTGGCTGCCTTCCTTTCCTTAGATAACCGGGAACTTCAGCCAAGACTCTCCCTTTCAGAGAGTTGTTCATTTTTTCTCTCAAAGGTCATCAGCAGCAGCCTGCGTGATTGATGGGACCCTGGAGACACTGTCTTCTGGAGACTCTGAACCCCGCAGGCAGACAAGGATCCGGAGGTCCTGACCCCTGAAAAGCCAGCATGGTGACACAGGCCTTTGCCCCACTCTGCTCCGAGGGCTGAGGTCCACGTCCTGCCAGCCACAGACCCCTCAGGCCTCACGTCCCAGCACTGAGACCAACTGCCTGTCACTGTTTAGCATCTGATCTGCATTTGCCTTGCTGCCTCTCCTTTTAAAAAACATCTTACATCCCCATCTTGATCGAAAGCGGAAACCCATGAAGGTCCCAAGTGGGGTCGTCCTCCACCCACTGCCCCTGGGGACGGGCCTGGGCACAGGTTTGTTTTCAGTCCCCACTTGGCACTGCCCTCAACCTCTGGGTCTAGAGGAGACCTCTGTCTCCTGGCTTCTCCCCACTTTCTGCCATTGGCAAAACAAAGAGAATGAGCTCCTGGCTCCCTTTCACGCTGGAGATGGTCCTGAGGGTGCTGGCAGGAAGCAAGAGGAGACGACAGGAGCGACAAACCCCAGGAAGACCCAGGAGCGGAAGGAAGCCCTGAAGGCCCAGCACACACCGCCTGGGTCCCCTCTCAGTGATCCCAAGTGTCCTGACCTGGGCCCAACCCCCTTCGGAGCTGATCCTACCCTCTGCACAGCCATGGCAAAGAACCACATCTTCCAACTATAGTTGGGACCCTGATCCGGCTGCTGGCTGGCATTTTCTGACCGCACAGGACCTGACTTCCCCAGGAAGAGCTGCCCGGGGCCCACAGGCACCCTCTGTCCCTGGACGTGGCTTCCAATCTGAAAACCGTGCCTCCAACTTGCATGTCCCCCGGGACACTCACTCCTTCAGAGCGAGGCGGCGCCTCCTTTGCAGTGAGCATTCGGTGCACAGGCACCTGTTTCGTCACTGAATTAGCACCGTGCTCACTGAGGAGCCGAGGGCGCTCTAGGGCATGTGAGCTCAGTAATAAAAGGGACAACTTCCGGGACCAGCAGGCATCTGGTGGCTAGAAAGATGTCCTCAAGGTAAACGTCACATGTCACCTGGGCTGGGGCTGATGGGGAGGGTGCTGGCTCAGAGCTGTTTGTGGTGTGATTGAAAAACAGCACCTGTATGCTTTTAAAAAATTTATTACAGTAAAGGACACATTGCTAGTCAGCCCTCCTTGCTCCAAACACAGTGGTCCCGTCGTCCTGGCCGCTTCCTGCAGCCGCTCTGGAGTGCTCTTTCCTGAGGGTCTATAGCTGTGCTGTTTCGGCTGCCAGAATGTCTTGAACTGATTTAAAATACTGAACTTTCGTGGTTATTTTGTCTTCAGGGAGGAGACAGAAGTCACACACGGTGCCAGAGCTGGCGAGTAAGGTGGAGGAGGACTCAGTGGCATGGTTTTGTGAGCTCCCTTTCCATCGGGTGGCCCTGGGCAGCCGTGTGCACCGCTTTGTTTGTGCCTCATAAAGACACAGGGGAGAGGACTCCAGAGCTACGACAGAAAGTGCCGAGGACGACCGGACAAGGGTGCTCCAAGAGGAGGGGCCGCCTGAAAGGGACCCACGGCAATGTGTCTTTCACGGTGACAAATCTGCACAGTCTAAGCACTGACCACATGTTTCGATCCCTCCTGGTACGTCCACGAGGACTGGGAGGAGGGCTGAGCCCCGGCCCTGCAGGGTCCCTGCCAGTCACGCTGTCTGCAGGCTCGCGAGCATCATACCTTCCAGGGGCCACTCGATGGTGTGGTTGAGGTCCAGGGAAGGCTGCGTGGAGAAGCCAGCTCGGAAGTCAATGTTGCTGATGCCCGTGATCCTCACCGAGTGGCGGCCGCTGCTATAGACCTGGCACAGGCCCACGCGTCACCTGAGAGGCAGCCTCCAGCGCCCAGCTCCGGAGCAGGAGGCTCCAAGGCGGCCCTCAGTCCCACGGGAGCAGCTACAGACCTCGCGCCATTGTGGACATGGGCAGCTCCCGTGACCCCAGGCACAGGAGCACAAGCCCTGCTGACCACCCAACCTCGCTTCGGCCCCTCAACCCCTGCGGGCCCCGTCCTCTCTGTGCATCTAACCCTGCTCATTGTCCCCATTACGTCACAGCTCAGGGCTCAGAGATGTCAAAGATCTGAAGGCAGGGAGTCAGTGCTACCCTTCCACCTGTGATGCCCACCACAGTCCTGGACCCAGCAGCGGCCAGGGGATGCCCTTCCTCGCCAGCAGGCTGCACCAGCCCAGGATGCTCAGGGGCCCCGGCTTCCAGCATCCTGCCGATCAGAGCTGGCCCCCCAGGCACGCTGGTCCTTGACACATTCCTCAGGTTTAAGCCCAAGCCAGCTTAGACAGCCACCTCAGAACGCTGCAGCAGTTTCTCCAAGTCCTTGATTGCTCCCAAACTAGCCCCTCTACTTCCCCAGCAAGCAGAACTCTCCTCTGTCCTTGAGGACCCTGACTCGGGTGGCTGTGCGAACCTCCCTCTGCCCACTCTCCAAGCCCCCAGGGAGGCAGGAGGGAGACACTGGTCCAGCTCAGGAAGCTGCTCTCTGCCTCGCCCCGCACGCAGGGTCCCTACCTTGATGGACCACAGCCCGGGGTGCTTGGGCTTAAAGGCCACCACCTTGGCCGAGTCAGGAATGCTGAGCAGCACATTGAGGCCCTCGTCCTTCTGGAGGATCCTCCCTGTGGAAGCCCCGAGTCCCACTCAGTCCCCACCCACAGCCCACAGACCGATACTGGCCCCAGGCTCCCGGGACTGACCAGAGGGAGGCTGCTCTTTTCATTCCTGCCTCCCTGCCTCCTCCCACCCGCTCTGCTCCGCTGTTCCCCAGCTCAATCATTCCGGGAGGCCTGGGTCTCAGCCCCCTTCCCCCTTGGTTCTGGGTCTGTGTCCCATCCCCGGTTTCCAGCCCAGACTCAGGCCCTCTGAGGAACGGCACATACCCAGCGGATCCCGGACTTGGATCTCGGGCCCCGGCCCACTCAGAGAGACGGTGACCTCCTTGAGGCTGGGGTCAAAAGGGATTCTCCACGTGTGCTCGCCCCGCTCCTCGTGGTCTGTGGACAGCAGGCGCACCTTGGAGGCCTGGATCGCCGACTCCACCCACTTCAGCACCTGCAGGGAGGCAAGCCCTGGCGTCTAGCTGTGTCTGGCCCACCTGGGTGGGTCCACAGCTAGCCGCAAGCTGTGTCACCCCGCACAGGTTTTAGATGGCATACGTGGTCTCCAGGTGACCCGTGGCCACCCACTCCCCAGCCTCCTACAGCAAGCCTGACCCGGACACTGTCCCGCTTGGCTTCTCCAGCGCAGAACTGTGGGACCTGAGGCAAGGCACCCAGAGGGCTCAGCTGGGGAGGAGCAGAAGCCAGGGCACAGCCTGCTTCCTGCCAGAGACCCTTTCCCGCATCTCTTCCCTCCTTCTGAGTCCCTCCTCCCTCTTCCCTCCTTTTCTTTCTTTTCTTCCTTTTCTTTATCTATCTCTGTGGTCTATACTGATATTCCCAATTCACATTTCACATTGCAGGATTTTTTACTTAGTTCATTTGACTATAAACCAACAGCACAAAAAGCAAAGAAATATTTACTCAGTAGTTTGAAGCAGGAAGGACAATCTATAGCAATTTTGAAACTACAGCTCTAGTAGGATAAAACAAGTACAGATGGTAACTTATTGGTTTAGGTTTGTTCGTTTGTTTGAGATAAAGCTCTTGCAATCTCTTCCAGACGAGTCTTGAACTCACAGTGTGGCCCAGCTGGCCTTGAACTCATGATCCTCCCTCCTCAGCCTCCTGAGTGCTGGGTTTACAAGTATGTGTCACCACACCAGGCTGCTGCCAACATTTTCTGAATCAAGACTTTTCTCTCATAGCAAAACGTAAGCCAAAGCTGCAGGTTTACAACCAAATGAAGTCAATTTTAAAATCTGCAAAGTGAAATTTGAATTGGAAATATCAAAATAAACCAGATAGATTAACAGAAAAATAGAAATAGATGATGTAAGATAGATAGCATAGATACCGACACCAGGTAGATGGATAGCTGGATGACAGGTGGATAGAAAGATGATATAATAGGTAGATAGATATGAGAGATCACGGACAGACAGACAGACCAGCAGTGCTGTGCACAAACCCCCATATCTATCCTCGTTTCTAAAGACACTGCCCCTCGGGCCCCTCGGAGAAATGGCTAATTCCAGGTTTGGGGCAGGGCATTCCTAAGGCCAGCCTAGGAGAACCGTCTGTTCCACACGCACTGGCTGTCACAGAATAACAAGGACACGGGAACCAGCCTGAGGCGCTCCTACTAGTGAAATCTGGGATAACTTGAGCCCCCCAAAAGAATAACAATTGAAACCCGCTGAGTTACATCAACCGTGCGCCCTAACGGTCCTGTGAAAGAGAAAGGAAAACTCGAAACAGTAACAGCTCGCCCGTCCCCACTGCAAGGGACCTCCTCATTCCCAAGAAAGGGCTCCGCGAGGCTCCTGCCTTCCCAGTGGGAACTGAACTTCAGAAAAACTAGATCATCCTTCTGAGGAGCAGATGCTCTTCCTGGGAAAGAGCCCATAATAAATGTGGAAGGAATGAGGCAAGTAGGAAATCACTATTTTGCAACCCTCATGAAATCATCGTGTCAGGCCAGGCTCCCCATGGAGGCCGAGGCCATCAGATGAAAGGCTGACGGGGAACTGGATGTCCACGTGCAGCGTGGCCTGAGTCACAAAGGGAGAGAAACAGGGCCCCGCGACACAGAGCTGCCTGTCACCCACCGCTCAAACCTATCATCAGCCACAGTGGGAACATGAGACATTATTCACCTCTTGATGTGGACACAGCAACGACCACGAGCTCCCGCTGCCAGACGCTAGCCGCTGTCTGCCCAGGCCTGGGCAGGTACGAGGGGCAAAGGGAAAAGTTAACGACACTACCATGAAACGGTCGGGTGAGTCCGCGAGTCAATGCCTCTTTGACAACTGTGGCATCAAAAAATAGAGCTCATTCCAGACTTGCAGGGACATTTTAGACATAACAACCAGACCAAAACATGTGGCATCCGATAAACTCTTAACTGGACAAAAACTGCTGCAAAAGACACACTGATATGTAAATACGGACCAGGTATCAGATGGTATGAGGAAACTATGATTCATTTTATTAGGTAATACGGTTATAGTAGATAACACCTCTACTTTAAAAAAGAATCCATGCTAGGGCCTAAGGGTGTCGCTCAGGGATAGTTTGCCTAGCATGCACAGGCTCTAGACTCAACTCAAAAAAAAAGGAAAAAGACAAATATCTTGCTAAATTATTTACGTGTAAGGTGTCGTGGTGGAGAAGATAGGCAAGATGGCGCACACCAGTCATCCCAGCACTGAGGGAGGCTGAGACAGGAGGACTGCAAGCTGAAGCCCAGCCGGGGCCACTTAGTGACTCAGTGAGACCCTGTCTCAAAATTTAAAAAGGGACTGGGGTGTAGCTCAGTGTGGAGGCCCTGAGACCACTGCCCCCCGAAAAAAGAAAAAAAAAGTATATAGACAGGATAAAGCAAGTGGAGCAAAAACGCTAACAACTGTTCTATCTAGTTTGTAGGTATGTTCTTTTTGCTATTCTGTACCTGAGATTTTTCACAGTAACTTAAAAAATAAATGTCATTTTTAAATGACAAATGTGCCATGACTTTACCACACACAAGAGCTCACATACGAGCCGCCACTCATCAATTCCATTTAACTAAAAGTGGCTTTCTGGAATGCTGTTTGAAGGAGACATGCAAACCCACATCCGGCCTCCACAGGAAAAGTCCCATGATTGATTAGCAATGTCTGCCACGGGTACAGCCTTAGACAGTGGTGTCTTGGGTGCCAACTATTGGCCATCCTGGATCTACATCCTCCAGCTCTGCCTGCTACGTGGTCTTGCCCAGAAGGGAAGGAAAGGGGGACAAGAAGGGAACTGGAAGAATCATCTGAGATTTAGAAAATGCCTAGTTTTTGTTCACGCTGAGCTGAAATGTACGTGGTAAGATTTCAATTATCACAGGATAAGAATTTGGTATCCTGACAACTAAAAGTGTTTTGAAACCTGGAGCTACTCCAGTCTTGCTTCTGCCTAGATTTATAAATAATGTGTTTCGTGTAAAGGTCCCACCTGTCTTGGCCAAGGAATGAGAGCAAGGTTCTGGGTCCACATGGGGTTGGGCTGGCAGGGAGCTGTGGCCAAGGCAGCCCAGCTGGAGAGGCCAACAGAGTCTGGCAAGGTGGGAGATGCCCCTCCAGCAGCCGAGAAGCAGCTCCATGACCCCTGTCCTTTGCCAGGGGCAGGTCCTACCGGAGGCCAGGAGGTAACTGTAACAAGCAAAGCAGCCGGCAGGCAGCGAAGCCAGCCACAGGCGACAATCACCCATCAAGTCACACCCGCTACTGTGTCGCAACTGCCAGGATGAGCTTGTTCGAGGCTGTTCTGAGGGAGAAAGATGCCCGGCAGCTCCAGCTACTGAACCCAGCTAGCAACCACCGGCCCCGTCACGAGGCCACCCCGGAGCTGGCGTGGGGGGCTGGCCGTCGTGTCCCCAGCATGGCCAGACCCCCAGTAGGCCCAGGGCTCCGGTGGGATGGGGAGCCTCCAGGCACAGGCCTCCGTTAAGCGAGCGCAGTGTTTATCTGGTGAAAGCAATGGTTTCCAGATGTCAGCGGGCCGTGGGCCTGGGAGCTGGCGACTGGCTCATCTCCTGGTCGCTAATGGGGGAGGAATGAAAGAATCTGGCTCTGCTAACTCGGCCAGATGGCTGCCGCTCGGCCCTACATGGCAGATAAATCACCCCCGGAGGCTGCTCCCAGGACCCTTGACAGCCAGGGTGGCTGAGGAAACAGGAAGGGGACCAGGAGGCCGGACGGCCTCAGCACCACAGATCAGAAAACCGAGGGCTGGAGCTGGGCTTCCAGGAGGCTGGCAGAGGTGGCAGGGAGAGGCCCCAGCCCGAGCACCTGGGCGGCCAGAGGGCACCCCAGACAGTCGCCTGTCTTCTCTAGAGGAATTTCCTCCTCTTTGGGGGGCTTGCGTGGCAGTACAGGGGGCTTGGCCTTTGCTAACTCTTACCCAGGACTGTGTCCTTCCATTCTGTCCACCCCTCACACAGGGAAAACTGAGGCCCGCAGAGCACAGCACCGTGCTCAAGGTCTCCCAGCAGGCAGGGGACAGAACTGCCCTCAGAGGCCCAGTAAGTCTTGTCCCCAACCCCCCAACCCAGGCCTCAACCGCTCCACCGCTGCCTGCCCCAGAGGGGTCCAGGATGAGGTCACCTCCTGTCCCCTAATCAGAACCACCTGGTAGGAACCTCCTCCCCCCACCCTGGCCCTGACCGTCCTAGAAGGCAGTCGCCTGTCCCTAGTTAAACACAGAATTGGGGCAACTCGTCACCTGTGCCTGTCGTGTTGGGTCCTGAAGGGCCCCAGACCCCAGAACCGGCTGTGCTGAGCTGGGAAGTGGGGTACACGGGGGACACAGAGGACAGCGGGCAAACTTCTGGAAAAGATGGGGCTTCCCTGACGAGGAGGCTACAGGACCGTGGGTGTGCCCGGCTCTCCAGCCCCACCCGGTTCCCCATCCCCTCCACACACACTGGGCCCTGGGGCCAGTGACAGTGACCTGAGCTGAGTATGCCGGGCAGGGTGGTGGGTGCCACCCCAAATGCACACCTCGGGGACAGGGCCAGAGGCCACACTGCTCGCCTCCCACGTGGTCCCTGTCTGTGAGGGTAGTGAGACCTTCAGCCCTGTCCTCACCTTCCCTTCCCTTCGTTACCCTGAGCTTCCAAAAGGGGCTCCTGGGGCCCGGGGGCCCCTCCACTGCTACGCACTGGAGCACCACTCTGGGTGGGTGGTCTCCACCCTGCCACCTAGAGTCACGGCGCCCGGTAAGGGAGAGAGCGGAGAGAGCAGACGCGCAGCACAGCCTGGGGACCTCTGCGACCCGAGGGGCAGCCTCTCCCAGCTGGAGTCCCCGCACAGACGGGGCTCTCCCTCCCGGGGACGACAGCGGGCTGCCCCCGCCGCGTTCCCAGGCTTGCCACATGTCTGGGAACATCTGGAAGGGGCCATGGCCAAGGCATTAAGCTGACAAAAGACAGGGTTCTGTGTCCAGAAAGGAGCGGATCCAGCCCCTCCCGGAGCAGCCAGTCCGGGTCATCGGTGGTCCCACTGAGGGACCATCGGGCTCCCACGGCACAGAGCGGGGCATCACATGGAGCTGGTACCTTCGCCACCTGCAAGCCATCCTCCAGCGCCCGCGCCCTCTCTGACCCGCCCCTGGCAGGACCCAGGGTTCCAGGAAGTTTCGAGCAGTCAGCAAGGTCTCCCCAAAGCTAGCACCAAGCCGTCTGCCTGCTCTGTGATGCCTCACACCCTCGCTCGGGGCTCAGCGCCAGAGCAGCCCGACATGCCAAAAGCAGGCGGAAAGTGTAGTGGGACCGTAAACGCCATCTGTCATCGGGGAGCTAAGGCACGCTAATCTAAACATGGCCCTGGAGGGAGAACACTGCCAGCAGCTCACAAGTACACAGCACGAAACCTCTCCCGGAGCCACAGCAGCCTGGCCCTGCCCACAGCCGGCTCACACCTCCCCTCCCCACTGGGCCCCAGGCTCCAGGGACCAACGTCCACCCCCAGCTATTTCTACAGCACCTGCTACTTCCCAGAGATTGATTAAATAACTGCTCAGGCATAAAATGGCAATTATGCAAAGCAACGTGGGGAGTGGGAGAGGGTATGAGAGGGGACCCGCCGGACACAGGGAGTACAGGGATGGCCTCTGTGGGAAGGCGGGAGGGAGAAGAGCCAGACAGAGCTGGAAGAACAGCAGCCCGTGCGAAGGCCCTGGGGTAGGAGGAACAGGGGACACAAAGAGCCAGCAGAGGCCTGCAAGGCCATGTGTATTGGACCAGGGGAGAACACGGCAGCGAGGTCAGGAGGGCAGGAGGGCCTGATGTGGTCTGGGCACACTCCAGGGACGACAGACAGGGACCCATGGGTCAGGTCTGCTTAGGAGGTTCTGGGCTTCCTGATGGTAGCATGAACTGGCGAGGTTTCGCCTACACCAGGGGACCAGACACCCAGAGAGGTCACCAGCCGCCCAGAAGGATCCGGGGCGCCGGGAAGGAGGGGATGAGGTGCTGGGAAAGCAGCCCCCGAGAGGCCTGCAGAGGACGGGGTGCAGGCCTAGGAGCCAGACAGCATGGATGGTGCCACAGGGCTGAGTCCCCAACAACAGAGCCCAGCTCCGTCTCTTCCACACACCTGGGGCTCCCTGGCTCTGGGGAGAAGCTTGGAAAAAACCCTACCCCCACACGTCTTCCAAATGCGTTAGGATTGAGCCCGAGGCTTTTGCTCTAAGCTACATCTTCAGCCGCCTGTCTTTTTCTTTTCTCTTTTTTAAGTTTTGAGACAGAGTCTTCCTAAATTTACCATGCTGGGTTTGAACTTGAGATTGTCCTGCCTCAGCTTCCCAGAGTACTCAGATTACAGGCTGAGCCGCCACACCCAGCTAAGCCCCAGACTCTGTACCTATAGTTTTTTGCCCAGAAACACAAAGCACCTGTCTTTGAGCTGGTGCGGATGTGACGAAACATCACACGCTGCAGCTGAGAGCCTCATGTGCCCACCACGGGGAGGGAGGGGTGCCCAGCACTGCTCAGCCCTGACTGCCGTTCAACCACCAGGCGAAGCCCTGGAGGGTGCGGGCACCGCAGTGACCTCACTCACCTCTGACACCTGTTGCTTGTCCAGGTGAAACACCTGCCCCGAGCTGGTGGAGGCGATCTCCTCATAGGCCAGGTAGCCAGGATGGGTACGGTCACCACAGTCCCCAGTCAGCACAAAGATCACCTGGAAGATGGGTGTGGGGCCTGCCTCGGGACTGCCCTGGCCACCTCCCACAGGATCCAGAGGCTAGGGACAAGCCTGTCTTCTCTCAGGCACAGGTGACACTTCCGTGAGGCGTGAGTGTCCTGAGCTGACAAGTGTGCATATGGGCCAGGACACAGTAGGTGCTCGATAAACAAGGTAAAATCCATCACAAAGCAGGGTGTGGAGGTCGGCTCCTCTTGGAGGCCCCAGAGGCTGCAGGAAGAAAATCTGAGCCCTGGGACTTGGAGTGGGGATGTGAGCTGCGGGACCAGGGGCAGAGGTGACAGACAGATGGCACCGACTCGGACAGGTACACAGGAGGGGGCTGGCGTGGGACTCGCCGGGAGCCACACTCAAGGTCCCCAGGTCGGAGGCCGGGCCTCGCTCACCTGCGACTGTTTCAGCTGCAGGAGGCGCAGCAACTCGTCCTTCCCGTGGTAGTCCTTGGCGCGGGCATCGGAGAAGACGTAGATAAAGGAGCCGGGATTGGCCACCTCCACCGCGGCCTTGATGGCCCCCACGCTCATTTCCGGGCAGTCACCGCCTCCCTGGGGAGAGGGAGCAGGTCAGCAGCCCGCCTCCTCCGGACGGGACACCGGGAGACACCTCCGGGACCAGGGGAGCTGGGGTCCACCCAAGCTGCCTCAGCGCCCGCCTCTCCCTTCCAGGGGAGCAGCGCAGCCACCGCCTGCTTTATCTCATACAAGCTTCACCTCTCTCGCCTGCAGGGCGCCTCAGTGACACAGTCCCAACCCGGGGACTCCGGTGAGGCAGGGCGCCGATGCGACACCAGGAAGAGCCAGCCCAGCACCGGGGAGGTGGGAACAGTCGGCAGACAGCCCCGAGAAGCCCCTCCATGGCCACAGCTTGAAGGACAGAGGCGCAGACAGGAAGGGGCGGGACTAGAAGAAAACACTGGAAGCCACCTCCCCAGGTCCCCTCTGCAGCCTGCCCTGGCGTCAACCCCAAATCCACGGCTCGCTGCCCACCCTGCCCAGCAGACAGAGCCCCCGCGGGAGGGGAGCCTGTGTCCCTGTCACCCGCGGATTTGCACACAGGCTTCTCAGTAAAGGCTCCCTCTTCCGATCTGCGGGTTCACCACACGGTGGGGCCCTGTAAGCGCTGGACCCTGCTTCCTCAGCCCTGGACGGGGCACAGACGCCTCCTCCCCCTTCCCCTTCATTCATTCATCGAATAATAAGCGGCAGGTGTCAGGCACGGGGCCCCGGAGGGAAGGAGTCCGTTCGGTACAGCTCTCCAGGGTCCCAAGCCGGGGCGCAGACCGCCAGAGCGCGGACAGAGCCGTGAGCGGGAAGGAGGCCGCCTGCTCGGCTCCGGGTGGGGCAAAGCCTTGCTTTCCGTCTGGGCCGGGAAGAGCAAAAGCGAGGTCAGCAGCGGGGCAGAGGCAGCCCACCTGCACGTAGAGATCCCGCAGCTCCTTCCGGAACACCGCCGGGTCCTCCGTGAGCGTCACCGGGCCGATATCTGTGGGGACAGAGGCCAGGATGGGTTTGGGCCTGGACCAGGGCCGGCAGGAAGGTCCAGGGAGCACAGAGACAGCGCGGAGGGCAAGCCCAGGGCGTGCTTCCCGGCAGCAGGCCCGAGACCGCCCCCAACAGCCCACCCTCCGCCCGCCCACTCCCACTCGCAGGGGAAAAGAAAGACCAAGAAACAGAGAGGCAAACAAATAATCCACTCTGGAACACACAGTACGGATCTGACCCCAGCGGTTCAACAAGATGGAAGGTTCCAGAAACCCCATCTGTGTGTTAGTACGTTCCAAAGTGCGGCGAGGGAAAGCAGGGCGGCAGGTGCCGGATGAGGGAAAGATCCCGGATGGCCCCAGAGGCGTCGGCTGGGACGTGGAGCCTCGGGAGCGCTCGCACAGCGTGGGAAAGGTGCAAACGGCCGGCCCCTCTGGGAGACAGTGAAGTTTCTAGAACGCCCAGCATCCCTCGAGGCCGCACTGAGAGGTTCACGCGGAGAAATGCACACACAGAGCCTTGCACTCCACTGTTTGCCGAGGTAGTGTCGGAACGGGCCAAAGCCAGCAGCAAGACCGTGCCCACCCGCCGGGGAGTGGGTAAGTGCCCTGCAGCAGGTCTGTACGGGAGTCTCCCCGACCGTAGGGAGTACACGTCAGGATCCCCACGGGCCCCAAAGCACGGACTACCAGCCCTTGCATATATGATTTTTTTCCGTATGTACATAGCACCTGTGACAAAGTTTAATTTATAAATTAGGCATAGATTACCAATAATAATGTGTAATAAAATGGAACAATGCTAACATGGTGTGGCTGGGTGTGGTGGTGCACACCTGTCATCCTAGCACTCGGGAGGCTGAGGCAGGAGGATGTCTGTGAGTTCAAGCCTAGCCTGGGCTACATAGTGAGACTCTCTCTCAAAAAACAAAACAAAACAAAACAAATATGGTGTAATAAAATTGCCAGCACCCCTATTCTTGTCCAGTGGGCCATTATTAGGTAAATAAAGGTTATGTGAAGACTATGGCTACCACACCAGTGGGTGTCGGTTGATCACCAAGTCCGTCTGTAACCAAGGCAGCTACTAAGTGACTGACAGGTGGGCGGCAGGGTGATTTTATAGACAGCTCTTTGTTGGGAGCCACTCTACATAATTTTGGGAAATAAAATCATTTCACAATTAAATTATGATTAGGCCTAGATTTCTTGCCTATAGGCCGGCTATGGCGTGCTGAAACACAGTAACCCCATTTTTGCCTCTGGTCACAACTGAGACCTCAAGGGTTGAATTACATCAGCCTGAAGGCATCCTGGCTCCTTGAGAACCGAGTAGTAAGAGAAAGTTTTCACCTGGGGAGGGACAAATTCTTCATCAGCTTAACTGATCCCACCTACCATTGTAAGAATATTTTTGCTCATTTTAGTGTCAGTCAACATAAACTTCCCATTGACCTAAGATCCTCATCAGCATAAGATCCTCATGGTCTTGGGATTACCGCCACCCTCCCAGACACCTGATGCCTCCTCCACTTATAACACCCTTGTCAATTTGGGTTTACCGGCACCCTCTGAGTCACCTGTTACTCCCTAGGAACCCAACAAATAGCGGCAAGCTCAGGTGCCTTCATCTTTGCTGCCCAGAGCCGCATTGATCCGGCCCAGAACCCAGCCCCTTCTCTGTCTGTTTCCCGTCTTCATTCTTTAATTCACCTTGTGCTCTCCCAGCTCACAGGAGAGCAGGACCCACTGCAGGGGTTCTGGTAATGTCCCTTTCCCATTCCCTACACCTGGTGATGCTGAGGAACAGGTGTACAGGGAGTCATCGTACTCTCTGCTTACCGTGTATGTATTTGAATTGTTCCCTAGTGAAAATAATTTTGTTTTGTTTTTTAAACAGCCTAGTGGAAGTCACAGCCAACCCACGAGCCAGCACTCTGGGTGTGAAGCAGCCAGAATTTCAACAGGCCATGTGGGTGGGTCCACGGGGGATCTGCAGGGTCCCGTGGACATCTGATTTCCTAGGAAATATTTCAGTTGGGTGCTCAGTTGAACTCTAAGAATGGGCTATTTTTGGTTCAGAAATTCCAAATTCCAGTCACCCTACAAAACGTCCCTACGGGACAGATATCAGTCTTGAGACAGGGAAGCCATGGCATTCTCGGGTACCGCAGCCCACACTACCACGCAGGGTGCGGACATCCGTCACCCCTGACCCTGAAACACCACTGTCCCCACCTTGGCCTCCCTCGCCTGCCCTGGCCTGTACCACGCCTCCACACCACCTCCATTTCCCCCAACTCTAGAGCAACTCATTCAGTTTCAGTTCAGCAGCCAGCCCTCAGCCTCTGACTCAGCCAGATCTGCCTGGACTCTCGGCTCCACGCTGCACAGCCGTGGGAGCGGTGGGAGCTCAGCTGACCATCCCAAGCCTCAGTTTCCCCATCTGCAAAAGAAGTGTAGAAGGGCCTCACTCTTCTGCCCAGGAACCAGCACTGCAAGGCCAGGTGAGTAAACCCCTAACAGCCTAGCCTGCGCTAGGTCCCCAAGCCTGGGAGCAGGCCCTGGCACTGTGACCAACAGGATGGCGGCCGAGATGGCCCAGGGAGGATGACGCCACGACAGTAGTGTCTGTCACTCAACTGGAGACTGGGCTGGCAGTACCACGTGAGAGCTTCCTCACGTCGCCCCAGGTCCCCTAGAGAATGCAGCCAGGAGGCGCAGCCTTACACAGGCACGTCTGTGACTTTCTTCTTTCTGAACAGACGGATCCCGCATGTGCCCGGGGAGCCAGCTGCTCTGGACAGAGCGGTCACGCTCAGGTCGAGATCAGCTTCCACGATGCCTGAGGGGCTGGGTGGGCAGAAGCACCGTGGTCTCAGAAGGGTGGGAATTTTGAGTGGATGCTGCTCAACCTGTCCAGTGTCCAGATTCACCTGTTTGACTCCACACCTGTGCTGCTCACCACGGTCTCCACTGCCTCCATCCGGATAATGACAGTGACAGTGACAATAAGGATGACAGCTACTACAACCGTCTGAGGATTCACAGAACCAGGGCTTCTCCTAAGCATTTGATGAGTATTTGCTCATAAACGCCTGACGGCGAGCTGACATCCACGGTCCATGAGCTCTGCCTCAGAACAAAGAGAATCAGCCATGACCACCACCATCACAGTAGCACCATCGACCTACCAGCCGCAACCACACAGGAGGCTGCAGAGTCACAGCCCTCACACCTCAGTCCCACCCTGGCTCCTAGACAGGAGGGTCACAGCCAGAGCATTTGAGAAACAGCTGGGCAGATGCAGCGTGCAGCCCCCCAAAGCTGGCCAGGGGGCCTCAGGGATGATTAAGCCAGTGCCCTCGAGCCACCGGGAGGGGCCGGACTTCTGGGGCTCATATACCGGAGGGCGGCTTGAGGGCACTGGCCTGCAGCAAGGCCCTCTCAGGCTCTGGCCTCAAAGTCCTGCCCCTCTGGCCTGCTTCCCTGCTCCCTAAGTGGGGTTTGCATCCTGGAGCCAACTCAAGGTTCGTCCCCGCCCCTCCAGCGGCAGCAACCCCAGCAGGGCCCACTCCATCCCCACCGCCCTCTCCAAGCCGCAGTTGCCCCATCTCTAAATGCCGGGCCTGTGGAAGGTGATGTCCGGGCTGCTGGAACTTGCAGTCCTGAGCCAGAGCCTGGCGAATGCGGTTGTTGGAACTCATGGTCTCAAACTCATGGTGATCTGGGCTCTTTGGGTATCTGCTGCCCAGTTGGCTCCTGTCCTGTGAGGCCTTTGGGGTGTCTCTAAGGCAACCTCACTTGAGAAACTGAGGCCCAGGCAGAGCAAGTGAGCCCCCGATACCGCTATCCTTGCCTGTTTATTTGCGTGGGCCTCTGGCTGCTCTGAAGGGACCTGGGGAGCTGGCACCTGCCTAGCCCGGGTCCCCCAGGGCCCCCCGGGGTATGTGACGGTGATCGCATCAGGGCTCCTCAGGTACCAGCCTGACTCAGCTCCCGGGAGCCTCCCGCCCCAGACCCCTGCTTCCTCACCCTCTGGCCCCTCTCCTTGCGCCTCTGCCCATAAGGACCCAAGCCCGGAAAGCCCTTTGGTGAGGGGGCGTCTGGCCCAGCCAGGCCACACCTCACCACTGTCTGGCGGTGTGGGTGAAGGAAAGACGGGAACGTGCCCAGTTCGGCTCGCACAGCCCTCCCGGCTCTGAGAAGAGAGCAGCTGGGGACAGGCGAGGGAGTGGCTTCTCCCACAGAGCAGGGACAGTCACTCCTGCTTTATGACAAGAGGCTGGGTGACAGCAGTGAAGAGCACACACGCGCACACACACACGCGCACACACACACACGGCTCCAGGCACACAGCCCTGCCCAGCGTGGTCACCCACCCCTGCAATCCCAGCACTTGAGAGGCTGAGGCAGGAGGATCGCAATTTTGAGGCCAGCTTGGACGACAGAATGGAGTCAAGACCAGCCTGAGTTACATAGAGAGACCCCCATCTCAAAAAAACAAAAGCAGGGCCAGGGAGTAAGTCAGCGGTTCCAGTACCTGCTTCGCAAGTGCAAGCTCCCAAGTTTGATCCCCGGTACCAAAAAAAAAAAGCAAAAATATCCCAAAGCACACAGCCCTAGTCCAAGCTGCCCTACTCACAGGCAATTCTGTGGGCCAGACACCCACCCAGGCCAGCAGAAACCCGCTCTCCCCTTAGGAAGATGGCTGTGCACCAGGGCTCCCAGAGGCGGGCGGGGTAGACGGTGCCGTGTCTCACCCACCAAATGTACTTGAAGTCCTTACAATGATACAGCAAGGACTAAGCTAAGACACATGTCCCACTCTGTCCCCCCAGGGGCGGTGGGGGAAGTGACTATTACGGACAGCACCTGTGGGCTAATTAAAAAAACAACAGGGGAAGCTGGGATTTAGCCCAGTAGTTCTGCTGCCTGCCTCGCAAGCGCAAGGAGCTGAGTTCGATCCCTGGTACCAAAAAGAAAAGTTCAAGCTAATAAGTATTTAAGGTAAGAGAAACATCCAATTGGAAAAGGGAAACCGCTACAATTCAGACAAGCTGAGACAGTCAACCTAGAAAACATCACTCCCCAAAAATAATTTAAAAGAAAAAAACTTCTGTAAGTATGTTGGGAAGAGAAAAAAATATATGAAATCAAATCATTTTCCAACATGCTAGCAATACTCATTTGCAAAAAAAAGTAACAGAAAAAAATATCTCGGTCAAAATAGGAACAAAAAAAAACACCCCAAAATATTCAGAAATGATCTTTAAGTGATGATCTAAAAGGATGGAACTTACAAGAAAAAATTATAAATCTTTACCAAAGGAAATAAATCTGTGAACAGAAAGAAACTTGCCTTCACTTAAAAATTAGTTTTTAGGGCCAGGGATGTAGCCAGTGGTACTGCGCCTGCCTGGCAAGAGCAAGGTCCAGAGTTCGATCCCGGTACCAAACAAAAATTAATTTTTAAATGATAATTCTTCCCAAAGGAAATGTTAATGAAAATCCAAGCAAAATTGGGGCTGGGGATTTAGTTCAGTGGTTCCATTACCTGCCTTGCAAGTGCAAAGACCCAAG